AGTTTTCATGCATTTATAACAAACGTATGAAATCCTAGTATTTTTTCTTCATAATTTGCTGACATTTTCTGTGCAATAGTTGTTTTTGTGTGCATTGATAAGCCTTGTCTTTTCATGAACCTGTAGCACCAGCCTTCAGACCCTGAAAAGTTCTAATTCCCATGTTTTTCTGCAAATCCTTTGGCCTCATTGATTATCATTTTAGTTTAAACACTTATCCCAGATTTCCTCTTATCTATCACCCACATTTTTACGGCATTTTTCAAGTTCAGGGCCAAGATGGAGCTGGGCATCGAAGGTTACGTTTTTGTTTTTTAGCAGTCTTCAGTTGATCTTCCTGCAGTCGCCAAGTACGTATCATTTTTTTGGTAGGTGGTGGACTGAAATGCCTTGCTGCTGCTCTGTTTTCATGCATGTTGGCGTAGTTTAACACTCCTATTTTATACTGAATTGTATAGCTTAATCTCTTGTTTCCTGTAGTCATATTTTCCAGGGTATTTTTTTTTTTAAGCAAACAGTTTTAAGCACCGATACTGACACATTTATACAGAGTAGCACCGATACTGACACGTGTGTTGGCTGAGTCAAAGAAAGTCTATGTAAAGAAGGAAGGGCTCCACAGAAGTAATGTGACCGTCAAATCTGTTCGAACTTTGGCCCTTTTTGGCAACAGATATTTCAGGCATGCGCAAAATAATTATGGCAGATGTAGAAAATGTTATGTGTAGCTAGACCTATATCCGGGCTAAAAATAGCATTCAGTATTGAAAGTTAACCTGCGTCCTTCACATATAAGACGCAGGTAACTTTTTTGAGACCAAATTTAGGAAAAAAAGTGCGTCTTATATTCCATCAAATATGGTACATTCTTCTTCTTCTACTTCTTCAATGGCCAGACAGCCCAGGATGGGCCCTTGCCTTCCTCAGAATCGAATTCCAAGCTCTTCTTCCTTGGTCATGGACGTCCAAGCTCTTCTTCCTTGGTCATGGACGTCCAATTAGTTATTTTTAAAATTCTTACGTCTGTTCCAAACAGACTTAAACTTAGAGCCACCTAAGTTTAGGTCTGCCTCTTTTTCGGCTGCCAAATAGTCTGGCCAAGAAGATCTTTTTAGTTACACGAATTTCATCCATTCTGCATAGGTGTCCTGCCCATTTAATTCTCTGAATCCTTATATATTTTACTATATCTAGTTCTTTAAAAGATTTATAGAGATCAGAGTTAGTTCTCAAGATATTGTTACATTTTATGCCACCAAAAATACTTCTCAAAATTTTTCTTTCAAAGACAGAAATGATACTTTTAGCCTTTTCTGCCATTGTCCAGGTCTCAGCAGAGTGTGCAAGAATGGATCTGATTAAGCTTTTGTAAATTAGATTCTTCATTTTTCTGCTAGTGAAGATAGACTTTAAGTATTTTTTTAGACCAAAAAAACATTGGTTAGCATCTGTAACTCTACTACGGATCTCATTCATTGAGAGTATTAACTTCTGTTCCTAAATGTTTAAATTTGCTAACAGTTTCAAATTTGTAATTCCCAATTTCAAAATAGGGGCTGCTGTTATTACCACATGGCATGTACTTAGTTTTATTTTGGTTGATTGCCGGATGCATTTTACTGGTTGCAGCCTCTAGAGATGTAAAAGCCTCTCTAAATAACTCGGGAGTGCATGCGACTATGTTTAAATTACATCCTCCCCTTCAAAAAGAGGAAGAATTAGCAATAGCAAAGCCTTTTTACAGAACAGCATTTACAGCAGTAAAAATAAAGAGAAATATAGTAGGGAAAATACAAATCATGAAATTTTGAAGTAATAATTATAAAATAATTTAGAACATAAATTTCAAATATTATATTTTTGAAAATAAGAAAATTTTTTAAAAGTCCTATTGATATTACAGTTCTCAGTGCAACTTGAAAAAATTTGTTTTTGCAAAGTTTAATGATTATGGTTCCTCATGGAAGATGCTTAACATTTTTCACAGAGTATTGAAGATAAAGCGTTTTTACATATCTCTTACTACGAGAATATAATTAATCAAAATTTGTTACGTAATCTTGATATATTAAAATAAATCACAAATTATTAAAACAAATCACAAAGATTTACAATATTCTAGTTATTTATATTTATAATTTATCTTTCAATATTATAAATATTTTTATATTTTACTGATATTATTATAGTTACACTATTATTACATTTCACTTTCAACTCCTAATTTTATACCAACTAAAGGTTCTATAATTCTCTAGAAACAAGTACAGTACAAAGTCCGAAATCCAAACGTCCTAAATCCAAAAATATAAAATCCGGACCTCAAAACCACTAACAAAATTTTTCTTGTAGGCTTTACACATGCACATTTGATTTCCCCCTCCGCGCATAATAAAAAATCTGGAGAGTCCCGATTCTTAATTTCACTTTGACACTAAATAAAATACCTTGTTATTGAAGAAACAATCATTTTAGCATAAATTTGTACAATCAGTAATTTGGCTCTGTTGCTGCATATTTGCTTGGCGGCATCTGAAACCGAAAATTTCTATATAGATACATTGTTGATCTGACGCCAACCTGGTGAATAATTTTTTTATTATACTTTCTTTTCATCATTGCATGTTTATCAAAACATGACAACTTGAGTAATGACTCATGCCTTGAGTCATGCCTAAACAATTTTTTTTATGTTAGTAATTGAATAATAACATAACCTTTTATGTTGACATTATGCTTGGTGATGATTACAGATTTAAGTTAAATGGGTTAAAAAATGATTACGAGGAAAAATTTACCAAAAATTTCTTTCCATATGCTGAAAATAGATTTTGTTGATGGTACTCATAGACCCAAAGATTACATTTAGGGTTATTTGAATTAATAACTGATTTGTTATTCACATAAACCCAGAACCCGCACCAGGGCTCGTATGGCCAAGCCGAGTCCCAGAATTTCGAACCAACAGAAACTGCATAAGAAATTTAGCGCCGTCCCTCAATAAGGAATTTATTTATCTGATAAGCCTTAAGCACATGCAAGAAATAGACATAAGTATTTATTTATCTGATAAGCCTTAAGCATGTGCAAGAAATAGACATAAGTATAATAAATAACTAATACAATTCAGGTTTTATTGTCTCAGTGCGTGATAAAAGCAAGATAAAATTTAACGGAACAACTTGTCGCCAAGCTCATGATGCAAGGATAGCTAAATTTGATGATGACAGCCTCTAATTTTAAAGGTTTTTTGGACATGTCAATCGAGAAATCTGTAGTATGGTTCTAGATCCAGAAAATACCGCTACCGATAGTTAAGAAACTGACAGAGAAGTTACTGAAAACAAGAAAATTTGGATTGAAAAGTTAGTCGAAATTCTCGAAACAGCAGTTACAGGACTTCAACAATGTAACTAAACAAGAGATTATCTCTGCCTACAGAATTAAAGAGAAAGTATTAGCACAAAAAACGAAGTAACTTAAAACAGCTTACATTGAAAGGAATGTTTAATAATGTAAGCAAATAAATATTAAGCTTTTTTTTTTTTTTTTTGTAAATTTTGATACCCTTTAGATCATAAATACTTCATTATTTCATAAATCGTGATTTCATATTTTTAATTTTATAATTTCTACATGCCATCTTACTAGATTTAAACTGATGATCCATTATTGGGAAAAATCCCAAATCCTGAATTGGCAAAGTCCCGATGAGTCCGGATTTCGGACTTTGTACTGTATTTCCGTTTCAGTCTGGGTAAATCCCCACTGACCGATTGTTGCAATACTTCGCTGGTAGTTAAAGGGATGCTAAAGACTTACATAAAAAGGGTCCCGTTCTTTGTAAAAAGTAACTGGCCCTTCAAGAACTGCATAAAACATTCCATGATAAGTATAACAAAAAAATTCTACAAAATTTACATTTATCCTTAAAAAAGTTAGCCTTCAACTTTTCTTGCACGAGAGGGTAAATGAACAATTAATCAGAGATAGATAGTACTCCTCCGATTCTGAACTAGTACTCTCAAGAACATACTTCAACAATTCCTTAAATAAATTTTAACTTCATAAATCAAGTATATTTTGTAATTCAATGTAACAAAATACATTACCACAATACTTAATAGTTTCTATATTAATACTCAAAATGTTTTTATAACATCTTCCTTTACTAACACCAAAAATTATTTCATTCAAGTTTCATATTTATCTCATTCTCAAAATAATTCCAAATTCTTAACAATAATTCAGAATTATAATAAACATTACATTTAATCTTAATAAACTTTCCTAACTAAAATATTTGAAATTTTTTAAAATTCATTACTAAATTTACTCAACATAATTTTTTTAATTAAATTTCTGATATCATAAAATTTTTATTTTATGAAACAGTGCTTGCTATATTTATAAAATCCAATATAGTAAGAAAAATTATCAATTTGAAATTCATCTGCAATGCAAAACATTTTTAACTCGGCATCTGAATTGAAGACACAGAAGAATTAAAATTTTTAAAACTCCATAGCTTTATTCACTCAAAATGGCAGATCATTAGTCTTTCAGTTTCTCCAAAAACTACATATCCAATAATGATTTAAATTAAAACAAGGTTAAGCTTTTGACATCACAACTATTCTAACAAAGGAAAGAAGGAGGAACAGAGCAGCACAAGGTCTTATTGCGACGATGGCAGAGAGCAGTCTCATGAAAAATGACGCGAATTCTCCATTTATAGCAGCGATTACTTAACACACCAGAATGTTCTTGAAAGTGCTGGTCTACGGGCAAGATCCCGAAATTGCGGAAAGTTAATTAAAGTTTGCCTGTTAACGTAGAGCAAAGCCATCGTACTTTTTATATTATACATATGGATGATTTATTAATTTATAAAATTATTTTGCATACCTCACACATATTTAATACAGCAATATTAAAGCACGAATAAGTAATAGATGAATACCATGTGAATAAAGTTACAAAAATAAACTGAAATATACCTGCGTGTAAGTATTTGGGACCAAATAGTCAACAAGAACCATTATCACAATTCCTATGGGAACACCAAAATCCCCAAGAGCTCGCCTTGCCTACAAAAATAGAATTTATGCTTAAAAATTTATCAAGAATCTTAAAAAGTAATTACATATATAAGCTTACATACTAATTGAAACATAATTATGTCTATTTATAAAAATTATAACTTGATTATCTATATTACATAAGGAGTCAGAATATGTATGTTTAACACATACATCATATCAATACTCAGCAATTAAAATTTTTTACAAAATGCCGATAATTCCATTTCAATTTGATAAATATTTCTTTCCATTAACAATATTTTAATTACCATATACTTTTTTATTCCCTGATTACATTTACATAGAAAAAGTGAGAGTTAACATAAGGTACTTACACTTCTGCCAAGAAATTTGCTATTTCGGAAATGACGAAGAAATAATGCTATATAAAAAGTACCAATCATCAGTATGGCTGACAGTAATGCAGTATTAGGCTGTGGTGTATCTGGCACCAACACAGATGTTTCATTATCTGTTACATTAACTGAACTTACATTACAGTAGTACTGTTGCAGAGGGTTCTCTAGAAAAATCTGCAAATATAAAATACGCACACAAATTGGAAAACTGCTAGAGATTAGAAAACTAGATTACAAATATTTCTATTGCTCAAATTTTTAAAGTATCTTTATGCAGCACTATTTTCTGTTCACAGACTTATCACAATTCCTACAACTCAAATAATGGTTACTTTAATTTTAAATGTTTGATAAAAAATTAATTAGATAAACTATTTTACACAAAAATAATAAATTTTTCATGAATTTTTTTATGAGCATTGATATTAAATTTTGTTCAACCATGTATCTTAATAATTTATAGCATCCCTTCAAAACTGGTTTTTTTTCCAACAATTATTTAAATTTAAATTCTTCCTTTCCCTCTAGGTTTAAGATACATATAATTTCATATAATACTGATATAAAAATTTGTTATAAATATTTTTTTGTGTTATGTGCATTGCTTTGACTGATTCATTTATATTTTCTAAATATCAGAGTAAAAAATATAGAATTTGTAGCATTCATTTAATTGATATGAATTCTTATTATTTCAAATTCAATAACATCCTAAAAAATTTTATATGTCTTTCATTCTGCATAGCATAACATAATTTATTTAATATTATTTTAGAGCTTGATAAAATATCATTCAGAAAGAAATTCAGTATTTCCAATTTAAATGCTCAATCTTTTATTCAAAATTAACTGAACTTAAAACATAATTTAATTCAAACTTAAAGAAATCTAAAAATCTAAAAATTCTTACTTTATACAATTTTGTAAAACTTTCCACAATAAATAATAAAGATATGATTGTAGCAAAAATTTCCTGTACAAATCTGGAGAAAAATTTCACTAATGCTGATCCTTCAGCTGCAACTACAATTGTTGCAATTACAGCAGTCCATATACCAATCCAAGTTCGCATTACAAGGAAGTCACATGTATAATGCTCTCGTAACTGAAATTAAGGTATAAAAGATATAAAAATCGCACTACTGTTAATCTTTTATTAATCACAATAAAATATGTTATAATACTATGCATGATACTTATCAATTTTAGCAAAACTTTAATTATTCAATCAACTGAATTTCTAGTCACTGATGATTATAACACAAATGAATTACACAATAATTGTCTGCATCAGTTATTACCAAATTAATTTATAAATATTTATAAAAACAAAAAGTTTAGTTAAAAAATTCCAATCTAAATTTAAGAGAATATAGCTACTTTTTTACTTTTTCACTGCAATAATGTTTGCAACAAATGATAGTTTTTCTCCGTAGAGAAACATAAAAGTTTTTGTAAGTAATGATGGAATTCCTCTTCAAAACAATTTTTGTTTTATCAAAAACGTCAATTAAAAACTGTACCCACGGGATTGACCAAACACAAAAATTTCTAAAATTTTTAATTTTGAAACCTCTATTTAAAGATGCTGCCTTTCAATGTACTTGATCACACCAAAGAATACATTTCACAATTATTCCTACATTTTACAATTATAATATATATCAGCTATGTTAAAAATGCCCTAATTAAAAAATTTACAGTTGCCAATTAAAAAAAAATTGAATTATACTATAGCATAACTATACGGGGTATTTCAAAACTTATCGCTCAGATTTTATAATTAATTAAAAACTGTACTCACGGGATTGACCAAACACAAAAATTACTAACATTTTTAATTTTGAAACCTCTATTTAAAGATGCTGCCTTTCAATGTACTTGATCACACCAAAGAATACATTTCACAATTATAATATATATCAGCTATGTTAAAAATGCCTTAATTAAAAAATTTACAGTCGCCAATTAAAAAAAAATTGAATTATACTATAGCATAGCTATATGGGGTATTTCAAAACTTATCGCTCAGATTTCGTGGGAAGGTAGGGAAGACATCAGGAAATCGATTTCACATAGGAAAGTATATTCACAAACATCATCTACATGAACAAAATGGACAAGTAAAGTTAACACAAGGAAACAGTACAGTTAGTGGTAACAATGTGACCTTTATTCTAACAAAGTAAAGGTTCACACAGTAGGTGCTCGAAATTGTGACCATTTATATGAGCACAGGATTCATAGCACCACTGCACTGACTGCAGAACTATTTAAAAAACACCTGGCATAGCATGGACAGTTCCTGGAGCGGCCACTATTCGTGCAACAAGGTCCATTTTACTGTCGAGGGGAATCTCGTACACATGTTCTTTCATCCCCCCACACAAAAAGAAATCCATCGATGATAAATCAGGTGACCTGGGTGGCCAAGTGGTCAGTCCTCTGCCGATCCATCGAATGTTTGGTTCAGGTAATCACGCACATCAGTTGCGCTATGGGCTGAAGGGCAGATATACACAGAAACAGCACCCAGAAAAGTCAGTAACACTGCCTCAAAAAAGACTAGGTATTTCCTGCCATCCAATTGGGGTGGTAGCAAGTAAGGTCCCAACAAACAATCACCAATGATTCCAGTCTACAAATTTATGGCAAAACAATGTTGCGCAGAGTGATTTCTCGTACCATGCGAGTCGTCGCAAGCCCACACATGTGAATTGTACTTATTGAACACACCTTTCACGCATGAATGAAACTTTCTCTGTAAAAAGGACAGAAGCTGGAAAACTGGGGTCCATGGCACCTTTCTGCATAAACCATTGTGAAAATTCCACATGCTTTGGATAATCGTTAGGATGCAGTAACTGCACCCTTTGCCGATGGTAAGGATGCACATATTCCTCATACAGTATCCACCACACTGCTGAGTGAGAGACCCCCAAGCTGCAGAGCAATAGCTCATGTTGTGGTACTTGGATCATCTTTGATGGAGTATAGGACCTTGCTCTGTGGCACTAACAGTCCGTGTCAGTCGTCTTCTCCCCGTATTCTGCCTGTTGCTGTGCAGTGAATTATATTTGTACAGATTGCGATGCACACATGCAAATATTTGACGCTGCAGTATTCTTCTGTTGAGGTATTGGTCTTTGTAAACTTGACTAGCTCAGCGATCGCTTTCACTAGCTGCCCCATATGCAAAATGTATATCCACAAGCTCTTGATGTGTAAAATGATTCATCTTATCACTAGAAAGCCAGCTCGTACATTGATGACAGTGGGAGTGGTTGGGCGAGATGTACACCAGTTAGGTACAAACAGTGCCCTCGCTTACATTTGCGGACACACTTTCTGATGTAAAATCAGTTCCCTGATGCCTTCCCTACCTCCCCACAAAATTTGAACAATAAGTTTTGAAACACCCTGTATAATATAAATGAATTACAAATGATGGGACTATAGATGGAATGGAATAGAATGCAAGAGATACTTTCAAAAATATGAAACTGTTTTATTTAATATTCTCTGAAATAAATGGATGGGAGAGGAGACTTATACAGATGTTAAATGAAAGATTATGATGAGAAATTTTATAGGTAAACAGTAAGCCAAAAATAAAAAGGAAAAATTTATAAAGATGGTGCTAATTACATTATTCATAGCTGAAATAAGATGCAGGCTCCTTTACATGCATAGCAAAACAGTCTTACTTCAGAAGACAGGTGTTATGTATGCATGTTTCAGTTTGGAATGCTAGTATCAATACTGGTAGATATTTCTTGTCTACTGTATATAAGGTAAATTATTTTATAAGTTCTTGATTTTCAAAATATGAATTATTTATTTCAAATTTACTATTTATTTTACATACTATTTATTTATTGCTACTTATTTAACATGCACACACACAGGCACACATATATATACATTTGCTATTTTAATTTCCTTTTTTCTTTTTAAAAAGAAGTAGGAGCATATATTTCTAAAACTTAAAAAAAAAAAAAAAAAAAAAACTGCTCTTCTCCCTGTAAAGCACAGACTTCCCCTTTAAGGCAAATGTTACTTTTCCTAGTCTATTTTATTATTCTATAGCTGCCCCATATTTTTTTTTTTTTTTTTTCTGAAGGGGTATTTTGGTGGCTGTAGTACAATACTAGACAGAATATACATTGTATATTGTAGAGGTATTGAAATCCCCATTTATTAAACTCAGCCGCTTAAAAAACTCAAATTTGGTTGAAATAGAAGAAATTTTAATAAGAGGCGGGTGCTGTACATTATAATGAACACTAGTGTATGCAGAAGGGAGGCCATATGCACCCTTCAAAATTTTATCTTGCTTCAAAGATAGGTAAAAATTAAAGGTGGCATTATTTCGTTAATTTTCTAATTAAAGGAGATGTTTTTTGGACTGTCTTATCCTCTAGTTTCTGTTTTATCAGAAGAGAGCATATAAGCTAGTTTTGTTGATTATTCACTAAACAGCGGTTAACATGCTCTGTAGTCGTAAAGTTACTGAATGTTAGAAGATGGTTGAATGTTGTTAAAGAAGCTATTATCCACATTTGTTAAAAACATGTTTCTAGAAGTGATGAGATGTGTCAATCAAATAATCCAAATTTATGGCATGTAGGAGGACCATGGACAGCCTACTAACCTGTGAATCGAGCCTGAATCCCCATGATTCTCATTTGCTGAAATGCCTCATAAAAACAAAAAATAAATAGGTAACTGAAATCCTTTAGGACTCTAGGCCCAGTTGCTTCAGTAGTGTTTCAACTTCTCTCCTCCCAGATACTGTTGAAGAGTAAATGTCACTATACTATACATTATATAAATTGTATTAGCTATTTCCTGATATTAATTTTTCAACATTTCTGAATATTAGGTGGTAATTGGCTAAAATGAGCAAATTTGTTTCATCTTCTCTTCAGATTTTGACTCCAAACTCGAGCTATTTTTTAAGTATAGCATTAGTGAAAATTAACACAATTCAATAATAATCATTATTAATAGTAGGATGGATTTTCCTGACACAGTAATATAGTAATAGGAAATCTGTGCCAATCCACTAATTTCAAAATGAATAAGAAGATACAGTATTCTCTCTTAAATTATTTAAAGAATTGTAATGAATGTGAACTGAAAGATGAAGTGCAAGCAAAAAAGCATTGCATCTTAGGCGAAGAAGAGCAACAGCTCAAGAATTTCAGGACTCAACCAAAAAATAAAAGTGGCACTCATCTGTGAAGTTCGACTTCTGCAAGTACATAAGTAACCTAATACAGTTGCAGACATATAATTTTTAAAATTTAAATTCAATTTTTAAATTGCAAAACTGTAAACAAGGTTTTAACATTATGATGTCATTATGACATTATGATTATTTATGAACATTATTATTTATTAAAGAAAGTAAAGGTTTAAAAAATCTACGTCATCTATTTGTCATAAGAATATGTTTCAATTTGTTTTAAGCAACAGTCAGAGAGTAACAGAAATGCAAAAGATTGTGAAACTTCATAGATTTATCTCTGAATAAAATGGTGAAGTTGGCTTCACAATGAGAGCCAAAGAGTTCTGAAAGTGTAAAAGATTGTGAAATTCATTGGTTTATCTCGTAATTAAATGATGAATTTGGCTCCACAGCTCAGAAATATCTTCAACAGATAAGACACGTATGTGAAGCATTCAATTAGTTTTAAACGTAACCCATTGGGTAAGTTAAACCTCTCACACTACTTTCTCATTTTTCTATATAGTACAACTTAACTTCAGTGCATACTAACCCATTAAGCACCGTATTCAAACAGGAAAACAAATTCCTGTTATAGTTTTTAAACTATTCCTGAATAACATTTTTCATATCATTGTCACTATAACATGAACCACACTAATTCTGTTTCAGGCCTTGAACACTTTATTGTGTTTATTATAATATTTTACCTTTATGCCCTTTTTCCCCAGGCCGTTTATTGTAGTGGCTGAGATTTGCATTCTGACCACCTCAACTCTTGGGGCATAATATACATATACTGAGTCCTCAATTGCCATCCTTCTGAATGGGTAGCTTATGTTAACATAGTTTCACTATAGCTTATGCAGTTT